CCCCTGCCCTCCCTCCTGTCCTTCCTGCCTTATGGTGCTTAGGCTCTCATGACATTCTTTATCCCACCACCACCACCACCACCAATACTTTGCCCTCAGCAACGGAAGCAGGAGCTGTCCCAGGACAATGCCACCCTAGAGGGCACTCTTCGGGCTGCCAGCCGCACCCTTGGCCATGCCTCTGAGCTTCTGCAGGGCATGAACCAGGCTAAGGAGGTGAGTACCGCCCCATCACCTCACTCATTTCTTGCCAGGTCCCTCCAGAGCCTCTGGCTACTGCTGGCTAATGGACTCACTAGACTCTGCTTCACACAAAGCACCATCCTATCCTGGAGTTTCTGGAGACTGGTAAACCAGAGTTGTGAGGAGTCTTATTAAACCCATTCTCCCATCTCAGGACCTGGAGCACTTGGCGGCCAGCCTGGATGGGGCCCGGGCCCCCTTGCTGAAGAAGATGCAGGCTTTATCTCCAGCCAGCACCAAGGTGGACTTGGTGGAGGCCGCGGAGGCCCATGCTCAGCAGCTGGACCAGCTGGCGAGGAACCTGTCTGGGTATGTGGCACCTGCAGGGGTGCAACTTGGGCCCCCGTATGTATTTGTGCCAGGATGTCATGACTGGTCTGGGAGGGCTTCTAGAGGGAAAAGCCATCATTCCCAGAGGAGCCAAGCTTTTGCCAGCCCCACAGGAAGCCAGGGCCCAAACTGGCAGAAAAGAGCAGAATCTAGAGGGGTCAGGCACAAAGACCCCTCGACCAGGCCACCCAGGCTGTGGCATCCAGAACCTCCCACCACAACCTCCATGATCCTCCTTCTCTCCTGGCAGCATCATCTTTGGTATCAACCAGGACCGCTTCATCCAGAGGGCTGTGGAAGCCGCCAACGCCTACAGTAGCATTCTGCGGGCTGTGCAGGCTGCCGAGGGCGCCGCGGGCCAGGCCCTTCAGCAAGCCAGCCGCACGTGGGAGGTAAGAGCCTGAGCGCCTGCAGGAACCCTGAGTGTCTGTAGGCTTGCTCCGCCTTTCCCTGCGATGTAAACGGCTCTGTGTGAACAGCTCCTGCTCTTCCACAGACAGTAGTGCGGCGAGGCCTGGCGATCCGAGCCCGGGAGCTGCTGGCCAATAGTAGTGCCCTGGAGGAGGATGCCCGTAGGCACCAGAACAGGCTAGGCTTCGGTGAGTGTCAGGGTGCTCTGGCTTCTGGGACATGTTCATATGACTTTGGGGTGGTCAAGGTGCGGTTTAAGGTGGGAATCAGGCTCTGGAAGTGCCTGCCCTGTATAGCTTCTGTTCCATGGTTTTACCCCTGGGGGGCCCCCCTGCTACGACCTTCTACCTGTCTTGGTGGTGCGCCATCGGAACACAGTCAGAAAGGGATGAAGCTCAGGGCCTCTGTTTGGTGTCTGTCCATCTATGGGCCAGGAGGCCTGGATGAAAATCTTTGTCACTGAGGTTTTCTCCCTCCTCCTCTTCCTCCGTCACCACCACCACAGCTCAGAATCGCCTGCAGACTGCAGGGACCCAGCTCCGTGATGTCTGGGCCAAGAAGGATCAGCTGGCATCCCGAATCCAGGAAGTACAAGCCATGCTGGCCATGGACACAGGTGTGTGGCTTATCTCTGCTCTCACCATCAGTCCTTTGTCCCCCGTAGGGCCCTGTGGAAGTGTACACATTCGCACCTGTGGCTGATGAGTTCCTGCTATGGTCAGTATAGCTCAGAAGGTTACCACGGTGAGGAGCACAGAGCCAAACACTGTGACCTAGGCCCGTCATAGGCACACTGGGAATACGCCTCTGTCCTGGGGCATAGGCAGCCAACACAGTGGGTCCCCAGGGACTCGATATGGAGGAGCAGTTTGCAAAAGAGTGCTCTGGACAGTAGTGAAGGCATGGGGTGGTAGCAGGTTGGATAGGTTTCAGAATGAGGGTTGGATCATGTCCAGGAGAGTCCCTGGGCTCATGAGGATGATTTCCTGGGAGAAACCTGCTGGTCAGGAAGCACAGAGTGGAGTTAATATGGCTGCAGCTGTGGACCAGAGAGGCCTTGGTGGTGAAGACCTTGACTGCCTGTCCCTCTCGGCTGACAGTGTGGTCTGACCTGGTTATCTAGGGCTCCCTGTAGCCTTGGAAATGACCCAGGCAAGTTTGAACTGAACTTTGGAGGATGGGCAAGAAGGGTGGGAGTTGACAGTGGCCCGGGTGGGAGGGTTACAGGGTCAAGGAGAGGTTTCTGGGTAGGGAGCCAAGTGTTGGTTTTGACTGCATTGAGCTGCTGGTATGGATCTTACAATGTCCATTGGGGTGGGGGTCTCATTGCTGGTGGGGTAGAGGAGCTGGGGACATGAAGCCAGAAAGGTCCTCACCTGGCTCCTGCTGAGCATGGCCTCCCTCCACTGCAGGTGAGACCAGCGAGAAGATCGCTCATGCCAAAGCTGTGGCAGCCGAAGCCCGCGACACAGCTGCCCGTGTGCAGTCCCAGCTTCAGAGCATGCAGGCCAATGTGGAGCGGTGGCGGGGCCAGCTGGGGGGCCTGCGGGGCCAGGACCTGAGCCAGGTGGAGCGTGATGCAAGTAATTCGGGTGAGCCAGGTGATCCTCACAGTCCTCTGGGCCGGGCTACAGGAGACAAGGCTCTTAGCCCCTTCCCCCACAGCGTCCACCCTGGAGAAGACGCTGCCACAGCTGCTGGCCAAGCTGACCAATCTAGAAAACCGTGGAGTGCATAATGCCAGCCTAGCCTTGTCTGCTAACATTGGCCGTGTGCGGAAGCTCATTGCCCAAGCCCGGGGGGCCGCCAACAAGGTGGGTACTGTCCCACCTTAGGGATGTGGTAGGGATGGTGGGACTTGGGAAGCTGGTGAACTCTCGTGTGCTGTACTCCCAGGTCAAGGTGTCCATGAAGTTCAACGGGCATTCAGGGGTGCAGTTGCGCACCCCACGGGACCTTCCTGACCTTGCCGCCTACACTGCCCTTAAGTTCTACCTGCAGAGCCCAGTGCCGGCACCTGAGCCCGGCGAGAACACTGGGGATCGCTTTGTTTTATACATGGGCAGCCGCCAGGTACCAGGCAGGACGTGCTGAGCAGCAAGTGGGAGTGGGTGGTTCTGGATAACCCCCATCCCAACTGTTCTCTGACATCACCACAGGCCACTGGGGACTACATGGGTGTGTCTCTGCGGAACCAGAAGGTGCACTGGATCTACCGACTGGGCGAGGGTGGCCCCACAGATCTCAGCATTGATGAGAACATTGGGGAGCAGTTTGCAGCCATCAGCATTGACAGGTGGGGAGCTCTTGGAGAGGGCCGTGCGGGCACCTTGCAGCTGACAGGCCCCTGTTCATTCCTCGCCCCTCACCTCTGTCCATAGGACTCTCCAGTTTGGCCACATGTCCGTCACAGTGGAGAAGCAGATGGTTCATGAGATTAAGGGGGACACGGTGGCCCCGGGAATGGAGGGGCTACTCAACCTGCACCCTGATGACTTCGTCTTCTACGTGGGAGGGTATCCCAGCAACTTCACGGTGAGCCTGGCCTAGCCACAGGGTCTTCTTGGAGTGGGAAGTACTGCCTGTCTTGACCTGGGTGTTTGACTTCAGGTCATGTTCCTGAAGTCTGAGCTTGGGTGGGGAGGTACCCTGACCATGCACTGTAACCCACAGCCCCCTGCACCCCTCCAATTCCCTGGCTACCTGGGCTGCATTGAGATGGACACGCTGAACGAGAAGGTCATCAGTCTCTACAATTTTGAGCAGACCTTCCAGCTGAATACCGCAGCAGACAAGCCTTGTGCTCGGTAGGTAAGGCCCAGTTCCCCCATTCCCTACTCCACTACTGCCCTCCACTGACTGGAAGACTCTGGTCTGCAGCTCCAAGTCCACTGGTGACCCATGGCTCACGGATGGCTCCTACCTGGATGGCAGTGGCTTTGCCCAGATCAGCTTCGAGAAGCAGATGAGCCACACAAAGCGCTTTGACCAGGAGCTGCGGCTTGTGTCCTACAACGGGATCATCTTCTTTCTCAAGCGGGAGGCATGACTGTGCCCCACCCTGACCTGCCCCTTCCTCCATTCTGGCCGTGCCCTATTCTAGCCCTGCCCTGTGTCCCTCCCCATTCTGGCCCTGCCCTAGGCTGACCCTGCTCCTGCTTTGTCCTTGCAGAGCCAGTTCCTGTGCCTGGCAGTTCAGAAAGGAACTCTTGTGCTCCTTTATGACTTTGGCTCAGGCCTGAAGGAGGCCATCCCGTTGCAGCCCCCACAGCCCCTGACAGCAGTCAGCAAGGCGGTAAGGCAAGGGGCCTGGGAACAAGAGGGCCAGCAGGGACCTCACTTGTCTAAGACCTGCTGCCCATCCCCTACAGATCCAGGTGTTCCTATTGGCTGGCAGCCGCAAGCGTGTGCTGGTACGCGTGGAGAGGGTCACCATGTTCAGTGTGGAGGAGGACAACTTGCTGGACTCGGCTGATGCCTACTTTTTGGGAGGTGTGCCACCTGAGCAGCTTCCCCCAAGGTGAGTATAAACCCAGGGGCATGTACGGGGCTGGTTGCCCCCAGGGCAGCCACTCAAGACCTGACCCGGGTCCCCCCACAGCCTACGGCGGCTCTTCCCCTCCGGAGGCTCTATCCGTGGCTGCATCAAGGGCATTAAGGCTCTGGGCAAGTACGTGGACCTCAAACGGCTAAACACCACGGGCATCAGCTCTGGCTGCACCGCTGACCTTCTGTTGGAACGCACTGTGACTTTCCATGGCCACGGCTTCCTGTCCCTGGCACTCCCTGACGTGGCACCCTTCACCAGCAGTGTCTACTCCGGCTTTGGCTTCCGTGGCACCCAGGACAACAGCCTGTTGTACTACGGTGCCTCCCCGGTGAGCTGGCCGCAGTTTGGTTCTGCGGTACTCACAGTTTGGGCCTAAGGGGCTGCAGGGATGAATCTGGGCTTTTGGCCTGACCAGCTGACATGGCTACTGTCTCTAGGGTGGGGTATGCCAGGTGTCCCTCCAGCAGGGCCACGTGACTCTCCAGCTTATGGGGACAAAGGTGGAAACAGAAGAGGTCTTCACTGACGGCGCCCCCCACTATGTTGCCTTCTATAGCAATGTCTCAGGGTAAGCGCTGCCCAGCTGGCCTCTGGATGCTGAGGGAGTAGGGAGGTGTATCATTATGGAGGGATGCACAGGGCTGGGAAACAGTGTCCTCCCACGTCCCAGGGTCTGGCTGTACGTGGATGACAAGCTGCAGAAAAGGTCACACGAGGAGTCATCCTCCATGCTCCTGCCGAGGCCCGAGGGACCCCCACAACTTCTCCTGGGAGGTCTGCCTCAGTCGGGCACTTTCAGCAACTTCAGTGGCTGCATCACCAATGTTTTCGTGCAGCGGTGAGCTGGTGGGCATCAGGAGTAGGGTCCCGGCTCGCCCTCCTCTAGCTGCTGACACAGCCGCCCCCCTTCCCCTTGCCTCCCATAGGCTTCGGGGGCCACAGCATGTGTTTGACCTACAACAGAATACAGGCAGTACCAACGTGAGCATAGGCTGTATGCTGGCCTCACTCAACCAGACCACAGGGGCCACGGCTCAGAAGGTGGGGTGCCCAGGGTGCTGTGTGGGCAGACCTTGGGTAGATAAAGATCCGCTCCCAAGCAAACGGCCCCTGCGTCGTGTGTGTGTTAGGCCTCCCGCCGCAGTCGCCAACCCAGCCAGGACCCTGTCTGCACGCCAGCCCATCATCTCAGGACCATCCAGGAAGCATACCAGTTTGGAGGTCCCCTGCCCAGTTACCTGCAGTTTGTGGGTGTCTCTCCCTCCCACAGGAATTGGTAAGGCTGGCCAGGCTGGACTGGGGTGGGCTTGGAAGTGCTGCTCAGGCTGATGTCCTGCTTGGCTTCCAGGCGCCACTTCTCGATGCTGGTCCGCCCACGTGCTCCCCAGGGCCTCTTGTTCTTTGCTGCACCCCTGACCAGCAGCAGCCCTTCGCTAGTCCTCTTTCTGAGTCATGGACACTTTGTTGCACAGACAGAAGGCCCTGGGCCCCAGCTCAGGGTCCAGAGCCTCCAGCGCTCACAGGCTGGCCAATGGCACAAGGTAAGAGGTTAAGGAGAGAGGATGTGATAGGCAGGGCACTGGAAACATCCCCTGACCTGCATTCTTCCCACCCCTAGGTGTCTGTGCGCTGGGAGACGCATCGGGTCCGGCTCACGGTGGATGGCAGCCAGACCTGGAGCCAGGAGGCACCCCGCTATCGAGCCCATAGGATGGAGGGACCCCAGCTCCACACCATTTTTGTGGGAGGCCTCCCATCCAGAAATCACAGCTCCAAGCTCCCTGTGAGAGTCATGCTGCCCCCACCCCGGTCCTTGGCGCAGATGGCCGCCTTCCTCGGCAGCCTGGCCTGACCCCAGCCATCTGCTCCTCACAGGTGTCCGTGGGGTTCAGCGGCTGTGTGAAGAAACTGCAGCTGGACAGGCAGCCCCTGGCAGGCCCCACTCAAGGGGTGGGGGTCACACCCTGCATCTCGGGGCCCCTGGAGGACGGTCTGTTCTTTCCAGGCAGTGAGGGAGTCGTCACACTAGGTGTGTAAGGCAGGGGAGGTCATGTGGGTAGGAAGGGCTCTGGGCAAAGGCTAGACCTCTCCCATCACGGCCCCCCCTCAACAGAGCTCCCAGAGACCAAGCTGTCTAGTGTGAGCCTGGAGCTGGAGGTCCGGCCCCTGGCAGCTGCTGGCCTCATCTTCCACCTGGGCCAGGCCCAGGGCCCTCCCTACTTGCAGTTGCAGGTGTTCATGGAGCAGGTAAGCGAGGCCATGGTGCCGGGCAAGTGGCCTCCCACCCTTATGGCCCCCAGCAGGGCAGAGCCTGACTGTCTTCTATCTTAGGTCCTGCTGCGGGCAGATGATGGGGCAGGGCAGTTCTCCACGTGGGTGATGCACCCCATGCTCTGTGATGGGCAGTGGCACCGAATGGCAGGCAAGTCACCCCTTCTCTTCTGTAGAGCAGGGAGCAGGAATAATCAGGTGGGGTGTGGCTCTGGGGTAGCAGCAGCCCCTGCGGCTAGGACAGACTGCCTGGCTGGCTGGGGGACACGAGAATCTGCTCCACAGTGATCAAGCGTAAGAACATGCTCCGGCTGGAGGTGGATACACAGAGCAACCATACCATGGGCCCTGTGCCAGTGGCCTCGGCTGACACTCGGGCACCTCTGCACCTTGGGGGCCTACCTGGTGAGTGAGGACTGCCCCTTGGGGACTAGACTCTGGGATGATCCTACCCCACAGAGGGGCAGGAGAGACTGGGTATCTGATGCAGAGGACCCAGCAGCCACCACAATCTGTTCCTCTCTGCCCACTCTACCTTCAGAAGCCGTGACTGCTCAGCCAGAGTCCCCTGCCTATCGTGGCTGCATGAGGAAACTGATGGTGGATGGGAACCCCGCCCCCATGACTGCCTCTGTGGGAGTCCAGGGGGCAGTAGGGGCTAGTGGCTGTCCCTCTGGGGAACTAGCACTAGTTCCCGCTCACTCTGCAGCCCTTCCCACAGGCCAGGGCAAGGCGCGGAAGCAGTGGCGGCGCGAGGGGTCCAGGCTTCAGCCCCTCGGCCCTGTTGTCACCCTCCCTCTGCTCCGGCACTGAGGTCCCCTACACCTTTGTTCTCTGTCTAGCCTCTTAGCTTTGATGGGTGACAACTCATTTCTGGAAATAGTTTATGTCTTTTTAGCTGAAAGGACATTGCAGAATAGGTCTTTATATATTTATACTTTGTACTTCTTGCCCACCAACTTTTAGTACTGAGATCTGTAAAATCACTGGCTCCTTGAAAATTAAAAAGTAACTTGTTTAACTGAGTGTGTTGAGTGTGTAAGAGAAAGTGAGGCAGAGGCAGGCGGATCTCTCGTGAGTTCCGGGACAGCTGGGGCTACAGGGAGACCCTGTCTCAAAAAGCCAAAAAAAAAAAACACCCAGAAAGCGATAACCATGCTAAGTACAGGGCTGCCCTCGAGTGGGGTGTGGACCCCAGGGTGGCAACACTGGCCCTATGCCCCTTCCTCACTAGCTACCATCCTAGCTCCCCGCACTACAAACGGCCGCCACACACCAGGGACAAGACCAGAGTTGGCAGGTAAAAGAAAGGACTTTATTAGTGAGGTGGGTCAGGAGGGGATGCAATGGATCACAATTGCCACTACGGAGTCACACGGCTAAGAATTCCAATTCAGGGAAGGACAGCAAATAATTTAATCTAGACTCATATCTTCCTCCTCGTCCTTCTTGTCCTTCGAGTCGCCCTCCTTCGGCTCTGATTTGGCATTGTTCTGCATGGCTTTGGCAAAGGCTTCCACATCTAAAACAGCCACAGCAGGACCACTGAGTCCTGGGCAGGGGTCCTACCCAAAAGAGACGGCCACCAGTGTGCCACACACCACCAAAGGGACAGTTCTGGTCACAGGGGAGGGTCGGGCACTCACCGCCCTTGTTGGCGGCCTCCACAGCCTCTGCGGGAAGGCCGAACTGGCACATGAGGGGTCCAAGTTGTCCTGAGGCCAAGGCCGCGCTGAACATGCCCAGGGCCTGCAAGGAAGAGCCACGGGTAGACCCGAGTGCCACGAGTACCAGGCCCACCCACAAGAGCCTGGGAACCTCTGTAGTCAGTGCCTGTGGGCACACATGCTGCAGGTCTCTTGGGGAGATAGGGACACAGTACAAACCTGTTGGAATTGGGGCGAGGTCAACGTGTTCTGGATCTCATCTGCAGTCTGGGGCAGAGATTCCCCAGAGGGCAGGTAGGGCAGCAGGCGCTCCTGGACGTCTGCATTGGCAAGGATGGGAGCCATGATCTCTGGTGTCAGCACACTGGCCAGATCCACTAGGACACAAGCAATGTGGCCATCAGTGCCCTGACGCCAGCCCAGCAGACTGCAAGCCTGGTGGTACAGGTGGGTTCAAGGGGGCAAGGGTGGCTCAGCACCACAGGCACATGCAGGCTCCATGCCTCAGCCAGTGCATGGACAGCAGCCCCTTTACCCCCAAGAAGCACCAGCAGGTCTTACCTTGCTGGCTGCCTCCTGGCCCGGCGGGCACATTCATAGTTGCCAGGATGCTCTGGAGGTCACTCAGCTGGATGGGCTGGGTTGGGCTGGCTGCTGTGCTGGTTCCATTACCTGAGCTGGGTGCGGGACTTGGGCTGGTTGCTGAGGCAGCTGCTGGGGCAGAAGGGGCTGGGGTGGCGCGAGTGGAAGAGGTGGTAGAGGATGGGGTGACGGCTGCTGACTGGCTCCGGGAGCTGGGAAAAGCGAGCAAGGGCTGGAGTGGCTAGGCCCCGTGCTTCAAGGATTCACCGCACAGGTTTGGGGACTACCCCTGGCAACCAGCTCAGCCATAATGGGGACCCCTCTACCCTACCTCCTACGTGGGGTCTCTTGAAAGGGGAATGCAATGGCTGGTGATGGTGCCCGGTGCCCGTGTAGGGCTCTGGGGGCTCACCTGGATGAAGAGCTGCTTGCCGGAGGCCCACTGCTCCCCAGCAAGCTGGCCAGACCTGGCCCAGTGAGGGCCCCAAGCCCACCTAAAGGAGCAAAGAGATGTGTGTGACGACACCGTCAGGTCCAGCCTACCTGACCCTTGTCCTTAGGCCAGAAGAGCTGGCATTCAATACCAAGGCCAAGAGACTAGCAGGGAGGGTACTAACAAGGTAGGCCCCAGGAAGCTGAGGCAACTACTTGCACCTGCATTCCAGAAGCTACTCCACTGAGCCAGGTCATTTCCACCCCAACCCCTTACATTCTCAGGAGTAGTTAAAACTCAGTCTATATCCTGGTTCATAGACTAGTGGTTCTAAGTGTCTAGAAAGTTGCTGTACACCACGACCTGCTGTAAGTAACCTGACCAAACAACTCAGGCAAGAGCCCCAAGCTTATTCTTTGGCCCTGTTCCAGGTGACCGATGCCCTCAGGTACCAAACTGAGGTCCTTCCTACCCACCCAGCATGGACAAGTGCCTTCCTGAAGGGGAGTGGCACAGGGACACAAGGACACGGATTGGCTCAGATCCCAAACCCAGAAGTTGAAGGAAACCCTGGGTCTCCAAGCACTGAGAGGTGCTGTGTGGGGAAGCCAGGAACAGCAGGGTGTTACCCAGTCCTCCAAGGCCGGCTGGTCCGATGAGCTGCATGAGCTGGCTGTGACTCATGTTCCCCAGCAGGCTTTGTAGGCCGCCCTCACCTGAAGAACATGGGAAATCAGACATGGATGTGCAGTGGCCATGATGAGGACCTAGACCCTCCTGGGCACTATACTGCTGGCTGGGGCAAGCAACTGGCCTGGCCCCACCCCAGAGGCCATTTGCAAACAGTCTCTGGAAGGAAGCAGCAGGGACCAGGCACATCTTGTGTGGTGAAGACAGGTATGGGGGAAGAGAACCAGAACCTGCCTGAGAGTCTGGCAGCTCCCAAAGAACACCACCCCTCACAGGTGTAGGTGATCATTACCGCCCAGTGCGGAAAGTTCATGGCCGCCACTTCCACTTGCGCCCAGCGTCCCAGGCATTGGGGGGTTGTTCAGACACTCGTTGACTTTCCTGCAATGCTCCTCATCCTGGTCAGTCTTGGGCTCCTGCCAGGAACGACACAGCTTGCACAAGGAGCTGTCTCAAGCCTGCTGGCTTCTCACCATCCACATAGCCATCCATCCTGACCTGACCCACATGGGGACCTGAGAAGCCAAGCCACTTGCAAACACCCCCATAGCACCAAAGAGACAGGACCCAGCCTGAGCGCTTAACAGGTACAGTCCTGCCAGACTATGCAATCATCACTTCACGGGAAGGCTGCACCATCTTTCAGGGTACAGCTCTTCCTTGGCTGTAGAGGTAGTAAACCCACCCCTACATCCGGCTACCTGAGGAATGGCTGGCCCCATAGCACCACCCCCAGAACCGCAGGACACAGCATCTGTGTAGTCGCAGCGCTCATTACAAGAGCACAATTAAGACAAATAGAGGTGATGAACGTCTAGTGACAATACTCAGCAGAACTTGGAGAAACACTACAGGGCAACCTCTCCATCTGTGTTTACAAGGTTTGTTGACACAGTCAGGAGCCCACTGTCCTCGGCTGCTTTCTGGGTCCTTGGGCTCAGGTGACCAAAACATGGACCTTCCTCCCTGGCATTTTACAGATTAAACAGCTACAGATTAAACATTTTACAGATTAAACCCCTTCAGTGCAGAAGGACCACAGCAATCACTGTCTACACTGCAAATGTGTGCTCCGCCACATTGAGCTTCTGACCCTACACTGTGCCTGTAGATCTGGCATATCATTGTAACACTGTGTAACAGTACAAGAAATGGAAACATGCCCAGTAAGATGAGGGGAAAGAGGGAGCTGATACACGAAGGTCTCCAGAAAACACTGTGCACACAACACACTGCACAGGAGAGGTTGGGGAGGGCACTGAGGGAGACCCCCTAGGGGTGTCACCTCTGCTGTAGGGACTAGGGGCAGTGGGAGATGAGGGAACCAGAAAATCCACCTGTAGATGACTCCATGGGCAGAGCTAGTGCTCAGATACGAGCCACCCACACAGACCACAACTCCACCAGGCCCTCCAAGTCAGCACCAACTGTAGTGGAGGAGCCCTCCCACATACCTGCATCCAAAAGAAAAGCCGCTTGGACCCCGCCTTAAACTTGAGCACGTAGACCCTCCCGCTAGGGCACTGCGGCACCCGCTTGAACTCACAGTCATCAGGGAAAATAATCAAGTCCTGCAAGACAAGGACAGTCAGCCTCCACACACATGCCACCAAGAGTCCTTCTGGAAACTCACTGGACCCAAGTCTAACAGAGCCAGGGCCCGAGGGTTCACAGCCACCACCATGAAGGGCAGACCCCTAGTGAGGACACAGAGGGGCCCCGGGGTGGTAGAGCAGAAAAGGTGTGCCCGGATGACTTTAACAGAAGCATTCTGGGAGCTGTGTTCCAAGAGGAGGCGAAAGGGTAACTCTGGCTGCTTGCTCCCAAGTTTAACAAAGAACAGGATGGGTCCGAGGGACAAAGAGACTAAAGTGGTCTCTTCACTCAGTACCACTAGCTGCGGCAAACCTCTGGTCTTTACATTCCTCCACCGCCGGGCACCTAACACTGAAAGTTTAAAGGAGGCCTGAGGAAGGTGCTGCGGGCTGACTGTCATCATGCAAACAACTCATCCATCATTCTGCTAACATCTTAAGGGCCACGGTCACTACGGGACACTTGGCTCCAGACGTGGGGAGCAGCCTGCCAAGCTTGGACCTGGGGCAATACCTGCACCAGTCAGCTGAGGCCCCCACATTCCCACCAACTCGCCCCAAACCTCTGCTGGTCGTGTCCGCGGAAAAGACACTCACGTCCTCCACGGTCCCAGACGTCCTGTCTTTCCAGCAGAAGTGGATCAGGGAGTCGTCCGTCTGCTGGATGTACACGAGCCCTTTCCGCTTATCTGGGGTCACTGTCGTCCCTTTTAATGACATTTTTCCTGCCCGGAACTCCACCAGATACTTGGTGGAGGAGCCCCGCGAGCCGGGCACCAGGCTGGGGAACAGGGCACCTGAAGTCGTCATCCTGGAAGGGCAGAAGGCCCGGCGAGTTCGGTCGCGTGCGCTCAGACCCTGCGGAGCGGCCCCGAGCCAGGCCTGGGGACCGCGCGCCAGGTCCGCGGAAGGGCGCGGGGTGGGCCAGGCCCGCG